GGGTTCCCTTTTCTCCACGTCCTCGCTAACACTTGTTATTTCTTGTCTTTTTGATAATAACCATTCTAACAGGTGTGAGGTGATAGCTCATTGTGATTTTGATTTGCATTTCCCTGATGATTAGTGATGTTGAGCACCTTTTCATGTTCCTGTTGGCCATTTGTATGTGTTCTTTGGAAAAATGTCTGTTCAGGTCCTTTGTCCATTTTTTTTTTTTTTTTTTTTTTTTTTGGTGAGGAAGATCAGCCCTGAGCTAACATCCATGCCAATCCTCTTTTTGCTGAGGAAGACTGGTCCTGGGCTAACATCTGTGCCCTTCTTCCTCTACTTTACATGGGACGCCGCCACAGCATGGCCCAACAAGTGGTGCATTGGTGTGCGCCCAGGATCCGAACCTGGGCCACCAGCAGTGGAGTGCACGCAGTTAACCGCCATGCCACAGGGCTGGCCCCCCTTTGCCCATTTGTAATTGGATTGTTTGGTTTTTTGCTAGTGAGTTGTATGAGTTCTTTATATATTTTGGCTATTAACCCCTTATCTGATATATGATTTGCAAATATTTTCTCCTCTTCCATAGGTTAGCTTTTCATTTTGTTGGTGGTTTCCTTTGCTGTGCAGAAGCTTTTTAATTTGACATAGTTTCACTTGTTTATTTTCACTTTTGTTGCCTTTGCTTTTGGTGTCAGATCTAAAAAAATTATTGCCAAGACCACTGTCAAGAAGCTTACCTCTATGTTGTCTTCTAGAAGTTCTACAGTTTCAGATCTTTAGGTTCTTTGAACATAATTGCTGCTTTGTATTCTTGTCTGCTAAATCCAACAGCTGTGTCTAGCCAGTCAGTTTCTATTGGCTGCTGTTTTTTTTTTTTTTTTTTTAACCTCAGTATAGGTCAGCTTTTCCTGTGGTTTGCATGTCTCACAAGTTTTTTTGGACAATTGAACATTTTAGATAATATATTGTAGCAACTCTGGATTCTAAGTTTTTTTTAAATCCTCCTGAAGATTGTTTTGGGATTTTTCTTTACAACTTCCCTGCATCTAATATATAGAATCTTTCTCCTCCACAGTTTGAAGCCCCTGAATTCTGTTTCAAATTTTTTATTCTAGGCAGCTATTGGTTAGAGACTGTGCTCACAAATTTGAGTTTATAAAGCTTCCATCGTTTTTTGATGATTCTGTACGTGGATTGGAGAGTACTTTCAAAATTTAGGTAGTTTTTAAGACGACTTCAGCTTTTACTTTATCCGAGGCCGTCTTGAGTCTCCTCTGCATGTGTGCACAGCCTTTCCGCCAGCCAGGGATGTGTGGAGGGCTTATTTATTAGCCCTTCTATGCCCCTCTCATTTCCAGGGTCTCCCTCTTAAATTTCTTAGTGTTCTGCCAGTCTGTCATTTTCCTCAGCTGGGACTGCATCCTCAGAGTAGCAGAGCTGTGGGCTTTCTTACTTTGTTTCCTATCACATTGCTACTTTTACTGCCAGTGCCACTGGACATGGGGTTTTGCTCTCTGTTCTAAATGATGGTAGCTTCCTCTGGAAACAAAATTCCTGGTTTTCATGGCCACCCGTCCCCTGGTAAAACTACCTCAACTGTCTGAGCTGGGGGTGGGGGAGTGGTGGTAGCATCCCCTGGCATGAAGGCCACTGCCACTCCCCCCCACACACATACACTGTCTTAACTCCAATATCTAGCCATATTTCATGAATAAATGCATCTCGATTTCTTGTTGCCTTTGGTTGATCTCTAGAGCCCTGAAATGGTTGTTTTTATAGGTGTTTTGGGGGAGTGAATTTGTCCATCTCTTCATTCTACTGTAGCTGGAAATCTCCTCTCGTTTTGAACTTTCTGTCTTCTTAGTCCATCTCCTGTGTCTCCCAGCCCCACTTTAATTTACTCTAGTTAGGCTTTTGTCACTACTGTTCTACTGAAATCACTCTTGTAAGAGTCACCAGCATCCTGCATTTGCCATATCCAATTGTCAGTTTTCTGTTTTCATCTTAATCAGCCTTTCAGCAGCTTTTGGCATAAATGGTCACTCCCTTTTTCTGAAAACTCTTTTTTCAGCTTGCCTTCTAAGATAACATTCTCTCCTGTTTTTCATCCTACTTCATTGGCTTGATTCATTCACTTGTTTCACTCCTTTTCATACCTACGAGTATTTTTTTTTTGTCTGAACTTCTTCCCTAAGTGATACCATTGGGTCCCCTTGTTTAAGTCCTCTTCATGCAGATGACCCCCAGATGCATATTTCCAGCCCCAACTTCTACCCTAAGCCTCAGTATTTTCACTTGGATGTCTAATAAGGATTTCGAACTTATTAGATGGAAAACAGAACTTTTGACCCGCTTTCTCCCTCAAATTTATTCTCTTCAATTTTTAGAATGATCTTTTAAAAAGGTAAGTCAGATCATGTCATTTTCCTGGTCAGAACCTCGTTGGCTTTCCTTTACATTTAGTGTGAAATTCAGTTTCTTTCCATGATTAACATATCCCCTGCCTACCTCTTTGAACTTAACATATCCCCTGCCTACCTCTTTGAACTTATCTCCCACCTCTCTTCTTTTATTCAGCATGCTGCAATCGCTTTATCCTTCTAGCTATTTTTTGAATATGCCAAGCTCACCTCTAGGCATCTACATTTGGAGCTTCCTATAACTGCAGTGCTCTATCCCATATCTTCACATGGTTCTCATGTTCGTATCATTCGAGTTTGTGTTCAGATCTTACCTTCTTTATGAGGTCTGCTCTGGCTTCTCTATCTAAAATATAGCCCCTTCTCTCTATCATGTTCTGTCCTCTTACTCTACATAGAGATACATTGTTTATTCCTCCCTGTCCTCTGTAGACTGTAAGTTTCACGAGGATAGGAACTTTGTTAGATTTATTCGCTGCCATGTCCTTAACACTGAATAATGCCTGGCACAGAATTAGGTACACTATATTTGTAGAATAACTGTTTTCTATAGAATTAGTATGTCATTAGTGAACTAATAAAGAATGATTCAGTAAAAATGGCTAGGCTTGGGTTGTACATTTACATGCATTAGTAATATATGTTGTCTATTAGTTGTATATTTAAATGCATCTTAGGCATGAACTTTGTTTGCCTAATACTGACTTGATTAATACTTATAAATATTGCTGTATGAAATTTGTATTTTGGGTCTTTTATGGAATTTTAAAATGAGAAAATTTAAGCCTCCTTTGTTAAAGAATAGAATATGAACAGAAGAGTAAGAGTAGATGAATATGTAAGTCCATGTACTTGCTTCACTTATGCATCTTTTCTGATAAAAGATAGTATGCATAATCTTTCACAACTTCTGTTATCTGGGAATTTAATAGTTCTCTGTTACCTTGGCTAATGAGTCTGGAAAAATAGATAGCTTATTTTAACATAGTTGGCTATGTTGAACAATCAATCTTAATATGTGTATATCATGAGAGGGAGTGAGTCCTAGCGTGCTAGTAGTTCTCCCGCAAAACTAGCTACCTAGATGTGAATTGGCAAAATATAGGCATACTGCCAGAAATAGCTTCAATTTGGAATGGAAATGGGCACAGTTTTGGAATTGGTAACGTTTTCTATGTCCTCTGCAACAGTCAAAACTTAGAGTCCAACATCAGTTATTACCTTTGTTAAAACAATTATACTGTTCTGAGTTTCTATTTATTGCTTCAGCTATAAACATTTTATAGCAAGTAATAGAGTGAAAGCTTGGTGTCTCACAAAAGAATTTTAAATATCACTGTATACATAAGCCTAACTCTCATGGTCAGTTTAAAAGGACAGAGAAAGAGTCCTCTTGAGTTTCCTGTTTCCCTGAGAGGACATGCTAAAACAATCATAGAGCCTATTGGAAGTTTCTAGAGGAAGAGGAACATTCGCTTATTCCTGCTACCATCTTCTAAGAACCGGAGCCTACTCTGCTCTAGGACAGTTCTGCTTATTAGGCTCCTCGTCCCCTATGCATCCTCCTCCTCTTTTTTTGGCCTTTTTTTCTAACCTTAACAGCATTTCCCTTCCAGATTCCCAGGTATATACTTTATGTTGTCTAGCTCTTCTAAGTCATTATTTTAACTGAAATTTTAGATTTTCGATCCATGTAGCTGGTATTTTGGTATTCTTTCTTTGTGTTATGTAATTTGGCCTTTATTAACTGGATTTCTGACAGCCAAATATATTGTTGGAATTTATCTTCTTTGTTAATATATACTCCTGATTATTACTGCAAAACTTAAGGTGTTAGGAAGTCATTATATTATTTAATGTTTTCTTTCCATGAAGAATGAGCGTAACTTTGAAACTCTCCGAAGGGAAAATTATTTGTGTGGTGCATTAATTTATCAGGCCTGTATAATTTCTAGTATGCCATATTTTAACTCTCTAAAACTTAGCAACTGAGCCCTACTAATGGGGCTGACTTTCAAATTTTCCACTGTATCTTGGAAAGCAATAGGGCTTGTAAGGGTTTTCTTTGCACCCAAATTCATTTGTGTGGTGAGAAATTTGATTTTTATTATAGTTGCAAAAAATTACAGTAGTAATAGCTCATTTCAGATATCTTACATACAATAGACCAGTGCTTCTCAAGCTATTTGTGGTGAAGTACTAGTTTTAAAATTTCTGATTCATTAAAGACTGATATTTTTGTAAAATACAATACAAATGAATTACTAGAAAAGTGAAATTTTAAAAAGTACAAAATATAGGCCCCCCTTTTTATTATAAGATTCATAGATATAAAATTTTCTGTCAGATTGCTAGAAGAGATTGTAAACACCTATTCTCAACTTCTGTATTTATTTTATTGCAGAGCAGTAATAAATAGTTCGTAACAAATAGTTTGCAAGTCAGCACTGGTCTATAGACCATACTTTTCAGTGACATATCTAGACCCTGCTGTTTGTAGTGTTTAATGTTATTTCAGAAGCATCTTAGTCAATAATGATGAATAGCAGTTATCCTTTAAAAAAATATTTTCATGTGTTTCCTTTTCAGAACCGAGAGCTCCAAATCATGAGAAAGCTAGATCACTGTAACATAGTCCGGTTGCGGTATTTCTTCTACTCAAGTGGTGAGAAGGTAGGTCTTGTAGAAAGTGTGTACTGAATATTCGATTGACTTGTTATTCCTCTAGAAGTAGTCTCCGTTTTTCTCCCCCCAACTCGCAGTGAAACAGTTTTGCTAACTGAATGGAAGAATTCCAAAACACAGGCCCTAGTGTCTGAGCTCAAGAAGAATCATTGAATGTCATTAGTTATATCAGGAAAATGTTAAGGAAAAGATGAAGGAAATGAACTTTTTAGAATTTTCTTCTCTTTTTAAACATCTCTCTTCAGTTCTAAAGCAAATTTATATACATTTTTAAACCTTTCTATGTTCCTTATGTGCTTCTGGAGCCCCGTGATAGTTCACTTGTTTATTGGAGGGAGGGAAAGGATGCCATTTTGTTACGTGGAAGTATTAGAAAGGAAGGGGAAGCAGGAGGACTTTGGTAGGACCAGAATGAGACTTAAACATTGGGAAGCAAGTTTAACCTATCCTTGGCTAGGGAAAAAGTTGGAAAAGATATAATGTTATAGAGCTGGTTATATTAAGTGGTCACTATTTATGACCACATTGAATTCTGTGAAAGCAAAGGATAATTAAAGAAGATTTTGTTGTGAATTCCGCCTTCCCCCTTGGTCTGTCTTTCTTTTCAGAAGATGCAATAACTAATGTCATTATACTCACTGGAGTTGGAAGCAGAGAAAAATCTGTTTCTTCTGTTTTACCCTGGTCTTTTTCTTTCTGCCTGTTCCCTGTTCCTTCTTCCCAGGTTCAATCTTTCCTTATATTTTTCCTTCACTGGCTTGGGGTGAAGGGACTGGACAGGTAACAAACCACTTAATCTTTTGGCTAAATAAATATGACTTTGGATAAGTTCACATGATGTTTTGGGCCTCAGATTTTATGCATATAATATCTAAAGTCCTTAGATCCATAATGTCTCTTGATTTCTAGCCCAGTGTTCTTTTTACTTCGCATAACTGTTTCCCAGTGTACTAGTTTAATCATTTTCCATTAAGTTTTATTTAGATTATTTCCTTAGAAATTCTTTTTTTTCATGACAGAGCCTGTAATGTGGCTTAATAGCTATGTATTAAGCCAGGATTGTGCTATACATGCCTATAGATATATAATTGTTGCATATATGTGTGTGTGTGTCATAGCTAATGTTTTAACAACCATAATTAGCAAATTGGCCCTTTAGTGACACTTCTCAGGTGCCTTTTTTTTTTTTTTAAAGTTTAAATGATGCCTCTGCTTGTATTGGGGCCTGTAAACCGTCATAAGTGTGTGAGCTCTTTTGTTTCTAAAGCCAGTTACTTCGTTCATGCTACTTTTTTTTATGCTACTTTTTTTAAAACCTAACAAACTGTTATTGTTTTTAATCTTACCTATTTTGGCATGTCTTTACTTTTTCCTGTCCCTTCCCAAATAAAATTATGGAGTATCTGTTACATTTACAGCACTCTTATAATGGAATTTTGCATCCTTATGGCTTTTTGTTATTAGATGCTAGATATTATAATACTCCAGGGAGGAAAGTAAAGGTCAGAATTATTTGTTCCATGAACCACTCCACTGGATTGCATGTAGATTGATTTGCAAAGGTCTCCTTACAAAGCTCCTAAACCTTTTGCTTGGGCACTTTATTTTAACTCATATAACATTCGCTGTATACCAGGCACTGTTTCAGTGCTTTAAAATATTAACTCATTTAACTCTTATGAAGGTAAAGAGCAGAAAGGGAAGAATATCAAACCTTTTGAATGTAAGGTTCTATTTGTGGTGGCACCTAAAGGCTTACCTGTTTGGTTTTGATTTGGTGGAAGCCCCCATCACAATCTTCCCTCACCCTCACTTAGTCCTTCTTTGGTGGTGGCAGTGGACTGACTGTTGTCTGTGTATCCCAGAGGGTAATTTCCTCCCTGCTGCTATTCAGAGCTGCTTATTTATCTTAAATGGTCTTACAAATAAAGAGCAATTGAGAAGTCATTAAGGGAGATTAACCGGAAGGACAGTGAACCTCTTTCTATTATAAAAAAGAAATACACTTTCTAATATTTTATTTATCTCAGAACTTTCTCTTGAGCATTGTAAATTTTCCAAAATAGGAAAAAAAGACACCTCTAAGTTTTGGATAGCTCCATTACAAAGAAAGAAAAATTGTGATATATTGCTGAAAATAATGATCCTTCCTTGTCAAAAAAAAAAGGAAATTTTCTGAAGATATGCAGAAATATACAGTTTCAGGACCTCCCACAATCTTCCAGCCAATGAAAAGCTAATTTCTCCTTGTCCTAGTCATGATCTGCACTTCCGTTCTTCTGAATTGTTCTGGCAGGACTAACATATCACTCAAGAGACCAGGTAGTAAACTTATCTGTCCCATATGAGAAGATGGATTCTGCTCTAGGGTTAAGAGCTCAGGTTTGTTGTTATCAGTTCTAACTCTCTGAGAGCAAGTTACTGAGAGTGAACTCAGAGCTGCTGTTTAGAAAGGGATCTAAATGTCTTATGAAATTCTTACAAATCCTTGAAGATGATTTCTCTCTGAATGTGTCAGTCCTGTATTAGGTAGGCATTTTTCTAATGGAAGCTTTATGTATTGTCTTTATGTATATATTAGCAGAGTTTTGGGGGAGAAAGTAATAAATTAATAGTTTGAGATGCCTGTGGGACATGCAAATGGAGATGCCCAGTAGACAGATATGTGTGTGACTTCATATGTGATGCTGGGGAGGGTGCTAAGTGGAGAGATGACATTGATAAGGTTGGGTAGATAGGGTGTGTAACCATGTAGTGGAACTCTTAGGAGTTCAAGAAGGAGGGAGAGGGGATGTTTGAGGCCAGGACACTCAAGAGCCAACAGTTTGCCAATATTACCTTCGGGTCCTGAAATATTTTGAACAGTGAGATCAGTCTTCAGTTGAGACAGCTGCAAGGAAACCAGTGCCTTTGGGTGGGATCCAGGTTTTTCTCTAGGGCAAGGCAGTAAAAAGGACCCTCTACAAAGAGACTGGAGTTCAAAACTCCATGAAGAGTTTCTTTTCAGGGTTTCAGATTGCTCAGGGGAAAGCTCTAGGCAGGAGGTCAGTGATAAGAATGTGAGCCTAAAAGAGGTGTAAGGAGGCAGTTAGGGGAATGAGTTGAGGGCATTGTGAGGATGAGAAAGAAGAATAATTCAGTGTTTCAGGATTACAGGGATGAAAGACTTGATTAGGTTCCAAGATGGATGAGTTCAAATGTATGTGGGAATTTTTGTAATCCTCTCATCATCATTATTATCATCTCTGACTCTCTTTCCCTCTGTCATTTTTTTATCGCTCTCTTCTTGTAAGTCTTTTCTCTCCTTTCTCTGCAGTCTCTGTTCAATTTCTGAGTTTCTGACCCTTTTGCTCTGGGCTCTAGGTCTCTTATCTTTCTGTCCCTGAGTTTCTGTCCCTCTCTCTTGGTCTATGTCACCCTCTCAGATTTCTTTTCCCTCTTTAACTATGGTGTTGGGTGTCTGTCTCTCTCTCTGTGTTGGTTACTTCCTCTATGCATCTCTATCAGCCTCTTTCTCTGGGTTTTTCTACCCCTCTTTTGTTGGGTTTCTATCCATCTTATTCTGTTACTTTGATCTTTTCTAAATCTTTGTATGTATTGTCATCTGTCTTGAGTCTTCTTCATTCTCTTTCTTGTGTCTCTTCTCTCTGAGCCTTTACTACTCCCTTTTAGGAAAATTTTAAAGAAAAATATTGTACTCACTATCGCGATTTTGACTTCAATTCTACACGTCTTATTCCATATGTACCTGTTTTATGTAGTTGTATGAATAATTATTTATAATCTTATTAAATATTCCAGATCTCATAAAAACATTCTCTTGTTGCCTCATAATATTTGCAGTTATTGGTTGTATAATATTCCATGGAGGAGTTGTACTACTCCATGGAATATTGTTGTACTACTGTTGTAATACTCTTAACTACTCCCCCGTTGTTATTTTTAATTTTAGAATTGTAGCTGAGCTACCCAAGGCCTCATTATAATTTTTATCCATAAGCACCTTTCAGCTCTGGGTGAAGTTAAAGTAAGATTATTGTAATATTTAGCAAATATTTCCACTGACCACAGTCTGACTGATTGGTTAGGTCTGTTTTGGTGACCTTCTCTTCATTGTGCTCCACCCTGGCATTTTAAATACTGTTTTCTTTAAGAATTATAAATAATCAGTTTTTAGCCAATAACTGGGGAAAGGAGTAGCCAGAGTAACAGGAAGAAGGAGGAATTAAGTCAGGACAGAGACTAGAGATGTGACCTAATTAGTCTTAGCCATAGTGTTCTGGTTGGAGTTATTAGTATTTGCTATGGTAACTGGAGCATCATGTAGTCAATTAGTATACTGTAGGTTGCCCAATAAGTTTTAGTAACAGATTTAGTTCAGAGTAAGTAGCTCTCTTTTCCCTTTATCAGAGAATAATGGGATTTTTGAGTGTTTTGCAAGTCTGGGCTTAAAATACTTGTTTGAATTCCAAGTATCCTCTATAATAGTGTTTTTTTAATATCATATTTGGCAGTAGAAACCCCATCCTCCCAAATGACATTTTATGAATAACCCCTATTTACAGATAGAAGAGAGAAAAAGCAAAGTTACTCTGATTGAAACTGGGGTGTGGGACCAGATGACTTGGCCATCTCTGAGTTGCAGCTCACCTCTGTAGAACCCTAGGACTCTGAAGGATGTAGTATGTAAACCACATTGTGTCTTTACAGGAGTCTTCAATTTTATTTAAATCATTTAATAGTTTTCTTTAAGAAAAATTTCTGTAAGTAACCTTACATGTAAAAATATTTTACTTGTGATTCATCATAGATTGATTACATAAATAATAAAGAGATAACCTTCCTTAAATAAAACTCTCCTGCTACTTGTATGAGACAGTTTAAATAGCAAGAATAGCACATTGATTTCATTCCTCATACCAACTTTGTTCTTTTGATAGTAACTGTGTGGAGGGCTGTGTGCAGAAGGGGAAGACTGTACTACTGCT